AATTAGTGTCATTGCAAAGCTGCTATATTTGAGAAATATCAGATTTAGAACGACCAACTTCTCTTGCAATGGCTAAAAGGGTAATCCCTTTAGCCTTCATCTGGACAACCTCCTGTCGCAGGCTTTCAGTCACCTTAGAGCGGCCCGCCATCTTGCAATTTCATTGAAAATGGGAGGATTGCTGCCAGTTAAATAGAGTTTGTCATTTAATTAAAAAAATTGCACCAGGAGCCAAATTAACACCAATTACTTGGAGGTATCTGTAAGTGTTCTCTAATTTTGATCAGTTCATTTTCAAATATCTAATTTAAGGTTTTTATACTGTGCTTCAGAATACAATTAATTTATGAAATATGCTTTAAAACCGCCCTTCTTCTCCTGTTAGGATAACTTAAAATAGGACTAAACAGTGACCTTGAAATTTATGAAAATGTATTGAATTGTTCTCTAATTTGGATCTCCACTGTTCTTGTGGACTTACTTAGGCCAATGAATGCACAGAACTGATCATAAATGCATGTTTTTCTGAAACGTTTATTTGCACTATGCTATCACAGTGATGGGGAAAGTCTCAAGAGGAGAGAAGAGATAGCCAGGCTTCTAGCAAAACAACATGACAGTCTCACTCACACATACACATACACCCAATGATGATTAGTGCACCTTTTTTGTGTCGCCTGTTGCCTCTTTCTACTGAGGGACAGAGTGAAAATAACACGGGGAAACAAACGAAAAGGCACAGAGAGAAAAATTATACAGCTGAGCAAATCCTCAATGGCACTGATGCTTCTGAATGTTAGAATTGAGATAAATACAGAAACATTACAGTTTAAACTGCAAGAGAAACACCACAAACCTCTTTTCCCTCATCTTTGGGCTGAAGAATAAATTTAAAAAATAGAATAAATAAAATGGGGAAAACATTCAAACTCATTTTTAGTCTGACAGTAGTGAGGTCTAATCTACTCTCTGTCTAAGGTCACATTCACACAATCAGTGTTTGGCATTGACAACTGTATTTACTCATCACAGCGGATACAAAGTTGAATAAACTTAAAGCTCCAGATGGCACAGCTCATATCACCATCTCTCAGAGTTAGCTAAATAACACATGAAAAAAATTGTGTGTGAGTCTTACTGGCTATCATATTGTGTAATGTGTATTAAGTGATGGAAAACCTGATTAGTGTGATTATGTTCACACAGTTCAGTTATAAAATAATGTGAAACACGTGAAACAAAGTATGTTCAAAAGTTTGTTTTCGGTAATGTAGCGAATCAGCTCATGGGGAAATATGAATAATTAATCATAACTAGCTATAATTAATTATAAATATTTAGATCTGCTGTAGATATTTACTTGACCGCTCAGGGTCAACTGTCTGTCAATTCTAAGAACGTTAATTTCCTGGTTAAGGGAAATAACTTTCTTACTGTACAATTCTACACCGAGCTTGTAGCATAAATCTGCAAGTGACTCCAGTTATGAGCAAACAATGAACAACGTCAAGTGTGATACAAGTAAGATTTTATTAACTACATGAACACTTAAACTAGTCTAACATACTACATAAACACTTAAACTGGTCTAACATACACATACACACACACATACAGTTGGTATAGGAAAAGGAGTTAAAGTTTAGGCAGTAAAAAGGAGAGAAATAAGGAATGAAGTTATGGAACCATTTGCATATTCAGCAGATTTACAGCCTGAAGGGAACATCAGATTCTTAGTTCAAACAGACCTTTGTAAAAAGGTACAAATGATGCCTAAGGTATCAATTAATAAGACTAAGTCTGATACTTGCACGTCTCGTCTGTCTG